AGCCACTCATCCCCAAGCCTGTAGCATTGCAAATCATTGATCCATCCTTCAGCAGAACCAAGCAGCTCCAGAGGAGACCAATGGATTGGCGAATCTAGGAAAAAGAGCTTGGGGTACCCTATGTTGGAGGCAAACTGTGATATTGTGCTAAACAGCAGGCACTCAAAGGAGACATTTGAAATAAGCTGTTGCGGATTTGCAGCTGTAGGAAGGAAAATTAAAGCATCAGAAGCCTTGACATTGAAAATGCCGTTGCCATGCCATCTTTAGCTTTTATGTCACTTCCAGTTTTTGTTTTTATTTTGCAACTTTAAGTTCATGCAGTATAACTTTACCACCCCGTCTCAGCCAATTATCCCATCTAAACATGAGATATATGCATTTTAATGACCCAACTTTATCATAACAGCACTTAGAATCATATTAATCATTTCAACAAACTCAAACCATTTTTTTAATGTAACATGGCTTGTTTGAGAGAACTTTTTCTGTTTGCCTCTGATCCTCCCACCGTTACTTTTCTGCTTTTGTAACTACTTACGCTCCTGGCTGGACAGCAACACTGGGAAACGAAAACTGTTACCTGAAGTGAATGGGCAAAACATATAGAGGCTATTGAGGATCAGAGATCTAGATTTCAGTTTTGAAAGTGGCAGTTGGTAAGATTTGTAAGTTTAGTTGGTTTTGGATCTAGTGTTGTATCTGTATGGCAAGTATGTGCTTGGCTCAGCTGCTGCAGTACAACATCTGATCAACATTGTTCTGGCAAAAGTCTTCAGGATGGATGTCATGCTGATATCAATGTGTCAGCTTCTGCGCCAGGGTACAACAGGGCCCTTTCAGAGTGAGATTTATCTGGTGTTTCTCCTTTTCCAATGCATAGTGAGATAACGTTAGACATATTTCACAAAAGTCCTTACCTTTTCCATCCTCAGAGGCACTGTTTGTACCTTAGCTTCTTACATGTGCTATTTTTGACACATTTTATTTGGAAGGAGAATCAAGATAGGAGTAATTTGTGAACTGAGTATCACTGGGCTTGTTCCAGATAATTTATATAGTGTCTAAATACTTTAGTAAATGAATTTTCAGGTCACCTGAGTTCCCTTGTGGTTAAATTTTCTACAAGCCTAGAAAAAACACTGTACATTTCAAGTATAAACTGTGCTGGTATACTACATTACTGTAGCACACTAAAAAAATGCTTCTATCTGATAAAATGTTGACTAATGGTTTGCTGAAAATTTTGCTGACTAATTTTACTACACAGCCACTGATGCCTTGCCCATGGGAGGCCAATATAGGCTAAATACACATCAATGTGCACTGATTAAACACCAAATACATGCGGTTGTGGGTTTTTTTTTTCTGAATAAAATTAGATGTTTAGTCCAAAAACACTAATTATACTTCTTAGTGGTAGAAATTAATTTAGTATTGCAACCCATGTGAATTGCACAATTATAATTTATCTGTTTTCTGCAAATATGAAAGTCATAAGAAAGCCTATGTTTTAATCACATACATCAGAACAAAGAGATATAGCAAATTTAAATCAACCTTAGGTATGCAGCTTTGGAAGTAGGGAGTGCATAAAATTAAAAGTTAATTTTCATAAGCCCTTAAAAGCATTGAAAACTGAAAAAACATAAGCTTCAAAACCTATTGTCTCAAGTCTCTAATCCACATCCTTCTGTCCTGGTCAGTATGTTCCAGTTCATAATGGCAAATTATCAAGGTCCACTTACCAAACAAAGCCTCTTATCTCATCCTTAGAAAAGCTCTGCCACACACAGAGACAACTTTCCAAGGCTGATCAACAGCACAAATTTTCACTGAAATTAAGGGCTGCCTCAAGCATCACCATACTTCAGGATAGCAAGAAGAGTGAAAAAGTTTTTCCTGGTGTCTAATGTGAGCTAACAAACCTCAGACTGTGGCCACTGAACTTTGTTAAATTCTCTGCCCCTACTAAGAGTTTGGTTCCTTCAGGTGGGCTGCTCTATGCTTATCCCTTAGCAATGGCCTAGCCTAAACAAGCCCAGCTCTCTCACTCTCTCCTCATTGGCCATGTGCTCTCATCCCTAGTAGTCTTCATGGACCTCTGCTGAACCCTCTTCAGTTCCTCCACATCCCTGGGAGGGCCCTAAGACTGTCCCAAGTAGAGAGACACGAATAAGTCCCTCAGCCTGCTGGCCTTGGCCCAGTGGGTGGTTTATCTTATTTGCAGTAAGAATTCTTTGTTGGCTTATACTCAGCTTGACATCCACTGTAACCCCACGTCTTTTTCCACAGCGCTGACATTCAGCCAGTTACTCCACAGCTGGTACTGAGGCAAGGGATGATTTCTTTCCATACGCAGAACACTGCAATTCTTGTGAACTGTGTGAGATGTCTGTTGGCCCAGATTTTTTTATTAATTTGGCCTAGATTATGTTATTAAATCAAGGTCATTTGTTAAATTCTCATGCTGTTTTGATCAAAGCCCTATTAGACTCAAATGAAAAATTAGGAACTGGACTGGGCTTTGAAAAGCCATGTGGGTTTAGGTTGTGGGATTTGTGGTAGAATTAGCTTTAAAGTATATGCATGCTATTTCAAAATTACATACATGTTCTTCTATTAAGTTTTGTGTTTATGGAAAGTTTAAATTTTCAGTCAGAATAGAGATACATGGAAAAAGAAAAAATATTATCACTTAGAGATAATTATGCCAATGGACAGGAATATATATCTAAAACGAAGCAGAAGAAAAACTGACAGGAGATAAAGCATGGGATGGAGAACCTGGCATGAAAAAGCTTATAATTAAAATATATTTAGAATTGTCAAAGTTCCTAATGCAGCTTTATCTATCATACAGAATTGTTTGTTATGCAGACAAAAGTCTGAGCTTTGAGTTTGCTTTTCCTTCACTCTCTTTCCCACATTTTACTGTTTCTCCTTTTTTGTGTCTTTTTGGTTTGCCTCTTGTCTAAAAAGGGTGTTGGTTAGGTAGTAAAGAAGAATCCACCTATTGCAGTATTCTTAGAAACACTGACAAAAAGACAGCTTAGACTGCATGAAGCTTGTAAATAATTTACAGGTTTTGGAGTGGTTCATAAGACCATGTGCTGGAGGTGTAATTTCCCAGCAGTAAAAGTGCAAGCAAGAGAGATCATCAAAAGGCAGAACCATATTTATTATTCTCTATCTCCTCTTTCTGCCAGTTTATATTATTTTCTCTTTAAAGGAGGGAGCATTGGACTCATGAGAAACAGTTCAAGATAAACTTTTCCTTCTTTTTATTCTCCAGAAGGAAAATATAATTTATCATTAATGCAATTTAAAAGACTGTCAAACAGAAATTTTCTGTAACAAAATAAATTATATACAGCTGGAGGAAAAAAAGAATGTAGGAAAGAGTTTAAATAAGCCTCACATTTTTCTTTCAAACTTTTTAATTATTTTCCTCTCTTTTATAAGAATTTAATGAAATGTTAGAAAGATTTTTTTAATTATAGTTGGTACAATGGAAGAAGTCAGCAATAACTTGACATAAAGCCATGAGGAACGCTTAATAATTGCAATATTAAATCTCTTTCACTGAACTGTAGAAATCTCCTGATAAACACAATAAATCCAGATTCATGAGCCAAGAAAAGAGCAGTCTTGGAGGTAAATTATGTTGGCTACATATATACTTAGACTAAAATTATTTAAGAACAGAAGTGTTCACTATCTTGTACAGTCTCGGAGGAAAGATCCAAGCTAAAGAAAGAAAAGTTTCAACTGATATTTCTGATAAGAGTAACTGGCCAGCATTACAGATTTTTAATAAATGTCCTTAAGATACCATTACTACAGACCTCCGAGGGTGGAAAAGGTAAGGTGTTACTTGCAATTCTTTGGTAAAGAGCAGAGGAAAATACAGATGGTCAGCCTAGATAAACTCAAGAGGTCATTCCTGGCTCTACTAATATATAATTCTGTGGAAGTAGGTTGCCTTTTCAAGTAATGTTTCTTTCAAACAGTATGGCGAAAGTGGAATTCATTAAGTGACAGAAAAAAGTACCACCTTTAAACAAGATCTGTAGATCAGGTATTTCTCTAAAAACAGGCTCCTAACTTATTTTGAACTAACAAAGAATAAATCAGACAAATTTTTCTGGAGTACCTTTAATGCTCCTTTAACATCACAACATTTAAATGCAGTCAGGAAATGAGAGTCTTATTCTTCACAGCTTCAGACTAAGGACTGACACAGTTGGAGTTGCTGGCATTTTCTATAAAAAAGGGGAGAGCTCCCTTTGCAAAATGAGCTTATTTGGAATGTCTTTCTTATCCAAGGAAAATATAGAAAAATCATTTTACATGTTAATAAGCCATAGAGTTAGATTAACTTCAATGCACATTTTGTCATTCATTATTTGCTAAGCTTCTCAGAAAAAAAAACCCGACAAAACCAAACCAAACCAAATCAACAAAAAAAACACCAACAAAATCTGAGTTGTACAAAGTAAAATATACAGGTTTTCTTTCTAGTTCACTAAAATGTGCCTAGCTTTTTGTCTGAAAAGAAATTACATGCAGAACAGTAAGAAGCCACAGCATCTTTTTCTAAACTGCAAGTACTGCTTTGTCCTTTCACACTCTGACCCATCTTAGGGAGAAGGCTGCATTATTCTTCTTGGGCAGGTCTGGGAATACTGTAGAGTATATAACAATGTATTCTTGTAATAGGAATTTATTAAATACCTTTGTTACATTTTCTACATTGAATAACTATGATATTCTATCAATGATTATCTGAACACTTCAATAATGTTTTCTTTATTGTGCTTCAAATATAAGTAAAAATACTGCTCTTTTTCATGCACTTATACAACTCCAGAAGGTTTCACCTGAAAAGACAAGCAGTAACAGATTGCTCCTCACCTGACGAAGGGTAGAGATGCTAGATTCATTTCACTGTACCTCCCATTCCCCAAAGGCTTTGGTTTGAAAGGCAGCGTGGCCCAGCAGTCAGTACATATCTGGTCTTACAGAGACCTGTGCTCTAATTCTGCCTTCATCAGTGACAGCCTCTGTGACCAGGAGCAAATAATTTCATACTTCTGTCTCCGTGACTGCCATTTTCTGTCTGTTCTGATCAAACAAAATTGTTTCTTACTATGTGTTTGCACGTGCTTAGTTATAGTGAAGAGCTGATTTTGGCTGAGGATAAGTGACATAAATCAAAATAATCCTAGATCTACAGATCTGACATGCATTTTCCAGGCAGTGCATTCATCTCTCAATTAGCAAGATTACACTATTTGTTTCTTAGCAGAAGCTGTCAGAACTATGAATATCTGTGTTCTTTGTTTCATTTAATAGGAATATCGTTTGCTTTCACAGGAAAAGCTGTTATTAACACTGGTAAAAGATGTTACACTGTTCTTTATCTTAATTTAAAGCTATTTCCTTTCCCCGGTTTAGGACTAGGAGCACATAAGTTTGAGCCATCAGTCCAAACAGCATAGCAATAGACAAAAATAAATGTATGAGCCTTAAGACTTAATTTGTCTTTTCTTACTTACCTTTGTTTCTAGAAATACTTCCTTTTTAAAGACTCGCCAGGCTTTTTTTCAGTCTCTGTGTTAAAGAAGGAATTAAGGCAAAAAGGAATTAAGTGCATAGCCCGAAGTCATCTGCTCAGTCTGGCAAATTCAGGACTAAAAGTCGTCTGTCTGGTCTTTGATGTTTACGTGTGACTTAGTAAACAGTATAATATTGCTTCTGCTTTTCCTGCCTCTTTACATAAGTCATTTTTGTAAAGTCACCACTCTAATTCTCTTTCTTCTCTCCTTCACTTCCTTTCACTTGCTTTGTAATCTCTCTGCTCTGACACTTTCTGCTTATTCTTTCTTATGTGTTTCAGTTTATGAAAAAGATGTAAAAGGCAGAAGGATCTGCAAGGTTTGAATAAGATCTTTTGTGGTGGTAGAGCCTTTTGAATTCATTGAATATAACTCTTCCAGTAGAATACAACTGCGTGTTCTATCAG